TGAATTATGAAAGGATATGAATGTATAAATTCATGTATATGTTAATGACATGTTTTTAAGAAATGAATTTATGTTTTATTCAAATGAAATTGACATCTAGCATATTATACAGTTTTCCTTAATTACTGTAGTTTAGAATTGTTTTACTTACTGAGTTTCGGCTTAATGTCAGTTAACATTTTTCAGGTAAGCTTAAATTAATCAAAAATGAGTAGAAGGGTGGCAATGTTTATCGTAGGAGATGAGCGCTTGAGGAAAGGTAATTTTTATGGTTATGCCTGATTTTATATTTATGTGTTTTCAAATTTTAATATTATAGTGGCTCTTTCAAATATTTTGAAGATTGATTTAGAGAATTGATAGTTTTTGTAATAGGATAATTTAACCTACCGTCCGACCTTTGTTCCCGCCTCGCCCATGCGAGCTCTCCGGGCCGGGTCGTGACAAAAGTGGTATCGGAGCAAAGGTTTAGGAATATTGATTAATATGAAAGAGCAAATAGGATGATTCATTAGGTTAGAGAAGGAATAGGGTTTGTGTGTTATGGACTATTATTTCTATAGGTTAGAGAAGGTATAGGTTAGAGAAGGTTGATTTGCAACTAGAAGTTGTATAAATTTCGAGAACAAAATTTTTATTGGGAGGGGAGAATTGTAAAACCCAAAAAATGTCGTTTTAGACCTGCATGCTTTTCGATGAGTTTTAAATGAAAATTAATTCTTGTAGGTGCTATTTGAGGTGATCTCAAAGGAAGGAGAAATAACATAGAGAATCATTTCCTAACTTCTGTAAGTATACATGGTTCTTTGTTTCAATAATATTTTTGTTTCACTCAAGTTATATGATTTGATAGACCAATCATGCTTCTTTACTCTTATCAAATGATTGATCATGCAAATTTCATATTATATTTTACGGCATTATATGATAAAGTTTGTGTTATATGAAATGATATGATATGATTATGAAATATTTTTTATATTGAATGCTTGTATGTGCATACTGAAATGATGGAGCTCACCCCCTGATGGTACTAGCTGGGGATGTTGTACTCGTACATGTTAAAATAGTATAGGATATGGAAAAGAAAAATGGTAAATGAGTACTTTTATGGTACTAGACGGTGGCTCCTGTGACGGTTATAATATACATGAAAAGAAAAAGTTATGAATAATGATATTGATATGGAAATGAATTATGAAAGGATATGAATGTATGAATTCATGTATATGTTAATGGCATGTTTTTAAGAAATAAATTTATGTTTTATTCAAATGAAATTGGCATCTAGCATATTATACAGTTTTCCTTGATTACTGTAGTTTAGAATTGTGTTTTACTTCCTGAGTTTTGGCTTAATGTCAGTTAACATTTTTCAGGTAAGCTTAAATTAATCAAAAATGAGTAGAATGGTGGCAATGTTTATCGTATGAGATGAGCGCTTGAGGAAAGATAATTTTTATGGTTATGCCTGATTTTATGTTTATGTGTTTTCAAATTTTAATGTTATAGTGGCTCTTTCAAATATTTTGGAGATTGATTTAGAGAATTGATAGTTTTAGGAATAGGATAATTAAACCTACTGTCCGACCTTTGTTCCCGCCTCGCCCATGCGAGCTCTCCGGGCCGGGTCGTGATAAAAGTGGTATCAGAGCAAAGAGTTAGGAATATTGATTAATATGAAAGAGCCAATAGGATGATTCATTAGGTTAGAGAAGGTATAGGGTATGTGTGTTATGGACTATTATTTCTATAGGTTAGAGAAGGTATAGGTATAGGTTAGAGAAGGTTGATTTGCAACTAGAAGTTGTGTAAATTTCGAGGACAAAATTTTTATTGGGAGGGGAGAATTGTAAAACCCAAAAAATGTCGTTTTAGACCCGCATGCTTTTTGATGCGTCGCGACGAGTTTTAAGTGAAAATTAATTCTTATATGTGCTATTTGAGGTGATCTCAAAGGAAGGAGATATATAACATAGAGAATCATATCCTAACTTCTGTAAGTATACATGGTTCTTTATTTCAGTAATACTTTTGTTTCACTCAAGTTATATGATTTGATAGACCAATCATGCTTCTTTACTCTTATTAAATGGTTGATCATGCAAATTTCATATTATATTTTACAGCATTATATGATAAAGTTTATGTGTTATAAGAAATGATATGATATGATTATGAAATGTTTTTTATATTGAATGTTTGTATGCGCATGCTGAAATGATGGAGCTCAACCCCTGATGGTACTAGTTGTGGATACTGTACTCGTGCACGTTAAAATGGTAAAGGATATGAAAAAGAAAAATGGTAAAGGAGTACCTTTATGGTACTAGATGGTGGCTCCTGTGACGGTTGTAATATATATGAAAAGAGAAAGTTATGAATAATGATATGGATATGGAAATAAATTATGAAAGGATATGAATGTATGAATTCATGTATATGTTAATGGCATGTTTTTAAGAAATGAATTTATGTTTTATTCAAATGAAATTGGCATCTAGCATATTATACAGTTTTTCTTGAATACTGTAGTTTAGAATTATGTTTTACTTACTGAGTTTCGACTTAATGTCAGTTAACATTTTTAGATAAGCTTAAATTAATCAAAAATGAGTAGAAGGGTGACAATGTTTATCGTAGGAGAGGAGCGCTTGAGGAAAGGTAATTTTTATGGTTATGTCTGGTTTTATGTTTATGTGTTTTCAAATTTTAGTGTTATAATGGCTCTTTCAAATATTTTGGAGATTGATTTAGAGAATTGATAGTTTTATGAATAGGATAATTTAACCTACCGTCCGACCTTTGTTCCCGCCTCGCCCATGCGAGCTCTCTGAGCCGGGTCGTGACAAGTGAAAGAGAAATGGTCTATCATGGCCATAGAATTTTACTAAGATTAATTGCTAGCGACAATCTAAGCATTAGGGATTGGATGTTTCCAACCATTGTTTCTGCATATAACAGGTCAATTAGTTATACAATTGAAAATTTATATTTTGAAATTATTACTTGTACTGATCCTAGAAGTCTATAAATCTCATTAGCCTACCAAAATGCATCATATTCCTCTTCTACTACAACATCTTTAGTATATGCATAAATGGGTTGGCATGTCGAGTTAGGTTAACAGGTTGCTGGCGGGTCAAGTTCGGGTCTAGGATTTTGACCCTGTATTAAACATATAGGATGGGTTCAAAGCAGGTTGATTTTAGTTTGGACCTGAGCCTAGCCCAAAAACCCATTTGATGCCCCTATTTAAATGAGCCAATCTCTCGCCCTACTATGCATAAGCACTACTTGATATGTTGACATGATTACCCATATAAGAATGATTCTTAGATTTTCCACAACCCCCAATGAAGCATTTCATCTATCCTTTTAGAATGTTACCAAAATATGCACTCTCAAAATGAGAAATATTTATAGTCAGGATAAGATATGTGAGTCAAAAGCGCCAACATAATTTTGACACCATTGACCAACCCTTCTTCAAATCCTTTTTCATTCGCCTGGTTGATTAGCTAATTCCATATTCAATGCTTAAAGATCAAGTTCACATGCCCTCTTCTCCTTCGTTGAAAGCACTAATAAAGAAGTCCCCACAATAAGGAAGCACCCTCTTACATTTACATCCATCGAAGGACTCCCATGACAAGAAAAAAAGGAAAAAAAAAATCAAAGAGCCTTGATTAGCTCCTAAAGAGTTTCATAGCAAAGAGCCTGTCAATATAGATAATTCAAACTTTAAAGTTCTGACACTTAACATGACAAGGATTGATTAAGGCCATGGCGTATAAATGGTATTTGCTTGTTTCTTAAGCAAGCCTTAGCTTATAACTAGTAAATTTTCCTTTTATTAGAAGATGACATAGCCAAATAATATAGTTGTTAAAGCATTGTTCATTTTAATGCAACATTTTAAATCACAAATTTTAAAATGCATGAGCTATTACATATGTTTGATGCAATTTTAGCTTGAGCGCACTTTTTCGAGCATTCTATGTTTTTCCATGATTTTTCAAAGCATCCTATTTCTAAGCATTCTTTTGTTCCACATCACTTAATATAACATTTATCAGTGACTTGGCACATTTTAATTATAAGATCAAAGTACGAGTAGTACCGTGTTTCTAGCCATTTGGATCAATTAAGATCAATATGAGTCAATTATGTTATAAGTTGGATTGATTTAAAGATCGGAAGCATTGTATTGCATTTTTCATATCTTCGTAAGAAAAGGATTCATTAAAGGACTAGCAAAATAATCAAGTTCAATAGGTTTGCATGCTGTTAACAATTCCTTCATAATAACAGGATCTTTTGAAGGAATGGCATGAATCAATCAAATTTGATGTCATCGATTTGTTTGGAACAAGATAAAGTGAACAAATGGAAGAATAAATCATGCCCAGTATGGACAAGATCAATTGATAAAGCGCGAGTTATACAATGACAGTTAATGGATTGATAGAGCAGGGTGAGAATATACTGCAACCAAGACGTTACCACTCATTCCCCGCCATTGAATTTCTCTTCCTCGTTATTCACTGTATCACCATCTCCCTTTTTCGTCACATTCTTCTTTCAAATCTAGTAGCTCAATGTTTTCCTCTCTTTCTTTCTACTTCTCTTTCTTTTCCTAAGAGTTGGTACTCATTCTTGCAAAATCCGGGATTTCTCTTGCTGGCCCCAACATATCCAACCAAGCCAGCCTAGTCGTTCGGAATATAAGTTTCGAAATGTCAAAACCAGTTCTATCCTAATCACACAACATAAAATCAAACCGGAAATCATAAACTATGGCCAACTTATTGTAATTTGAAGTATCTCAATAGTGCATACCAGGCATGCAAGCCGAACCTCATAACTTATACTTGAATAAAAAACATCTACTGAGTTTTGTAAATACATAGGAATTAATTAATAACTCAACAATAAATCATTGAAAGAAGATTCACGGGAAATATAGCATAAAACTATACAGTAAAACATGATGCCTATGCACAATCAAAAAGAGTCCTTTAAAATAAGAGCAAAGAGGGAGAAAACAAATGTTTAGACATACACATAGTACGGCATCAAAACGAGTTGCAACTGGGAGAACAATCGAAATAACAAGACGAGGATTAAAAGGAACCCAATATATACAAACAAATAATCGGAGTGGATGTTCACCAAACAAAGAAACATAGATAATGACTCGTGAATCCAATCATATTTACCGCATTTGGGATGCTGCTGAAGCGCTATCATAGTCGACAATTTCCTGGTCAGTGATTGAGCGCGAGTGTTGAACAATGGAGCGGCCGATGGAATTGATCCACTCCTCCTTCTCCTTATCTGAGTCAGCGATGAAGTACATGGTCTCTCGAGGGGTTGAGAGCTCAAAGGCAAACAGCCGATTGAGGACATCATCGGCGCCCTTTACGGTGAGGCACGAGGAAACCGGGATGATGCCGCGGGGAACTGAAGAGGGAGTTACGCAGGAATCTTTGAACCAGAAAAGCTTCCCCTGTTTCAAGACGAACCAGCGCCGGCGCCAAGTCTTTATGTACTCGCCCTGCTTCGTGAGCCACCCAACGCGCTCCGGATTCGACCAGAACTCCACGCCATCGGCTGAGCAATCCGGTTCCGTCGACGACCCCAACACCGCTCGCCAGAAGCTTGCCATGACCATCTCTCCGTGCTCCTCCAGCTATGATTCTTGTGCGGCCTCTCCTACGCTTGCCTTTCCATTCTCGATTTCGAGCGTGAATTGGGAAACGGTATAGACAGTACTTATGCGAGGCGGATTCGATCAGCGTATTTTTAAATTAGTCACTTATTATTTTTTAAATTATGTAATCCAGCTAATAAAATAATTTAAAATACTTTTTTGTGTGGTTTATCCATAAATATTTACAAAATAAAGATTCAAATCTTATTTTTATAATAATTTAATTGTTTATCATGAATAATATTAAATATATGCCAGTAGCATAAGCATATTTAAATTAGAATATAATCTAGGTACTAAAATAAAATTATTATTATTATATTTAAATATGAAATTTTAAGTGTTAAATTTGTTCTCTAGTTGATACGCGTAGGGCTGCAAACGAACCGAGCCGAGCCGAGTATGTGAGTGTTCATGTTTGTGTTCATTTAATATCAGCTTGTTCAAGTTTGGTTCATGTTTGTTCGAGCTTTATTGTTTGTGTTCATGTTTGGTTCATTTAAATTAAGGAGTGTTCCATAAATTGATTGTAACATGTTTTGTGATTTAGCATAAATATAAATTTATAAAGAAACATATCTCAATGTGTATGCATGCAGTTGAGGTTCTTTTGGGTAAATTTGAAGATATTGATAGTTGATAAATAAACTGAACTCTTAATGGAGCATGCTTCCATTATTTTAAGGCATTAATGATTGCAAAATACTATTGCTCATATATTGATTATCATTATCTTTTTTAGCTCAATTTCATAATGAAAAAGTTCAATGAGCTTACTCTCTTGAGATAAGACAATGCTTATCATGATTGTTGAAGCATTGTTATTTAATTGAAAGGGCTAGGTATTGCACATACTTTCTCTTTGAATGCATTGAAACTCGTTATCTTTTGTAATTCCATGCAAATATTTTCCGTTTCAAATAGCTAGTGATCATATCCATGATTGTGCTATTTTTTATTTCTTCTTAAAGCATATTTTTAGTAAAAATAAATAAAAATTTTGTACTAAAAAGCTGCTTCAATAATCAGTAAAAAAAGTCGTCCCAAACAAAGCCTCAATTCATCTCCTCGATGGGATATTCACATGACATCAAAGGCATCAAGGCAACTTATAATTTTTTTTCAAAATTGTAATTTAATGTTAACAATTTTTTTTTCAAATATTGAATATGTATTTTTGGATGACACAAATTTTAATGTTCAAAAATAGAAGGTCAAATGTTATATCTCTAAAAATTAATTTAATTGATATAAAATATGATTGAAATTTTTGGGACATCAACTGAATGTTCGAATGTTCAAAGAATCTTGCATACTTATAATCAAATTAAGTGTATCCATAAGATGAAGATGAGTCAATGGGTCAAAGATTATTCAATTTCAAAATCATTAAAATATTTTAATGTTGTATGGTTTAATACATGTTGATTGATTAAGTGTTATTAAATTTAGGCAAAGATTTATTAAAATGCACTCTCAAAATAATATAAATATATTCATAATCTCCAAATGAAGGGAACAATTGATTATGATTGTACAGAGGCTCTAGATCTCAATAACTCTATGCAATATTCATCATTGATGATCACCACCAATAATTGCTACTATCTAACTACCATCATTCAATCACTGTCATTTGAACACCCTCTGACCATCAATTCTCAGTTGGTATAATCCATTATTGCTCATCTGATTATTGTTGTCGGACCACCACCATCTAGCTTACATTATATGTTTGTGATCATCATATCTTCACTTATTTTCTTATAATTTCTATCATAACTTTAGGAGACTAAATACTTTCAGTTTTGTAATCATGTATTCTCTAGTTATGGCGAAGAGTGAACTAATGTAACTTAAAAAATATGGAAGATTATTTCAACTACACCATGCCCCGTGATTTTTTTTTTCTTTTTTGATATATTCATGTAGAAGATTCTAGTGTATTGCATTATTCTTTTTTATTTGTAAATATTAGAAGTTCGTACGAAGCTAAGCCATAGAATGTCCTATTTATCATTTTGATTCTTTTCTTGCACACAAGCTGTTATAATTTAGTGATTATATTACTCATTAATTTATTTTTTACGATAAATAATTAAGTTATCATCAAAATCAAAGGTATAACATTTTGTATCATTTTAAAACTTGTTAAGAATGATTTTAATATAAATATGTGTGTGTGTATGTGTGTGAATAGGATAATTGAATAAATACAATTGATCGACAACGTCCTCGAAATAGTTGAAAATGGCCTCTAATTGGCTCAACTAAAAGTAAACCCAATTGAGCAACCCGAAGTCATCTACAAGCAATGGTGAAAGCTTGCCTATGATGCAGACACATAGATGTAGGGGAAATGGACAAGATACAACACAAATACGAGATATGTCTATTATTAAAAATATAATATTTTAATAATATTTAATCAAAGATTATTAATATCAAAAATAACTAATTAAGTAGTATTATGTATTAACCAATATCATTATAATTACTAAAGGTAAACATTGAGGAAACTATAATAAAGAAGCTAAATAAAGGAGGCAATGAAATAGCATAAGAATCAAGTGATGCATTAGTGAACATGTTTAAGTTGTTGCTACACTTCATTATAAGATGCTCCAAAATAAAAGTTAGGCTAAAACATATTCAAATTAAATTCATAATCAGCTATGGGGTATATAAACCTATATTCTGAGTGGCACTCCTATATATTGGATAAGCAATACATTTTTTAACATATCAACAAATGACTTATTGTAGATTTAGCCAATAAAGATAGGCTTATAAGAGTGCAAGAGCTTTATCACTTCTTATATGAGATACTAGCCCTCCACCATGTAATTTATTGATTTGTTACTGCCACAACAATTTATTCAGAATTCATAGTTGATTTTGCTTAAATAAGAAACCATTAACTTGTCAAAAATATTTGTATGGCGAATATTACTGTGGATTTCCCATGACATGGACAAATCATTATTACACTCTTATAATTTGCACAATACTTCATTGACAATAATGCTCATTTTTAAGGCCATCAATTGACTAGCGCTTCAACTAAGGGTGTCCACAAAGTGATTGTAACATGTTTTGTGATTTAGCATAAATATAAATTTATAAAGAAACATATCTCAATGTGTATGCATGCAATTGAGGTTCTTTTGGGTAAATTTGAAGAGATTGATAGTTGATAAATAAACTGAACTCTTAATGGAGCATGCTTCCATCATTTTAAGGTATTAATGATTGCAAAATACTATTGCTCATATATTGATTATCATTATCTTTTTTAACTCAATTTCTTAATGAAATCTGTTCAATGAGCTCACTCTCTTGAGATAAGACAATGCTTATCATGACTGTTGAAAGAGCTAGGTATTGCACATACTTTCTCTTTGAATGCATTGAAACTAGTTATCTTTTGTAATTCCACGCAAATATTTTCCGTTTCAAATAGCTAGTTATCATAGCCATGATTGTGCTATTTTGAAATGATGGTAAAAATTGGTAAGACCAATAAAACTTTTCAAATCCATATGTGACGTAAGAATATACCATTACTTGATAACATCAACCTTAGAGGCTCTGTCTGGATGCCTCAGATTAAGAAGTAAATATTTAGGATAGTGAATTCTCATTTATGAAGAGCAAGATATAGCTCATTATCTTATAAGGCCACAATAATTGATGAAGATGTTGCAAATGCTCAATCAATGGTGGATTAAAAAATGAAGGTACTTAGTGTGTCAAATAAGTCGATGTCATCACTCTCTATTTAAATAATATTTCTTGTGTTTTGAATGTTAGTTTTGAAATCATGTTTAGCACAAATATGAATTTAGTGATACCTACTTCAAAGGTCCAACATGGAGAATATGGTAGCACCAATTGTCATATTTCTTTAGAAAAATTAGTGGTGGCAAGACATAAGGGCTACGACTATGGAGTTACTGGCTCCTCATACTCCAACTCGTTGCTTGTCAGCCTTTTTGAGAGTATGAGCCTCATTTAATAGAGCGAAGAGAAGGATTATGGGACAATAAAATGGTGGTCATGTCAACCCACACATAATAAAGAAATGATGTCTTCGATGAGTGCTTGTTAATGCGAGGTCATAAAGTATGACATGCATACTTTTTTAGTCTATTGAATTACAATATGTTAGCACAAAAACAACTAAGTGATTACCTAGAATATTGGCTTCATAAATGATATTTAATATACTTTCATAAATCCATATGATATTGTAGAAGTGACACATGATGCAATATGATTAGAATTGAAAATGATTAAGAGTCAAGAAATTATAATGATTTGTTAATAATAATTATGAATGAATTGAAATGCTTATAAATATAAATATTCATAATTATGTTTTAATAAGAATTCCCATAAAATAATACATAATCATACGTGCAATAGATCAAAAAATTTCATTAAAATATATAATAAAAAATCACTAAATTTAAAAATTTTAAATATTATAATCATATACAATTTGATTAAAATATTATAAAAGTATGATAAAAATAATATTTATATTATATTAAATTTCATCACATAAAATAATATAAAATATATTATAAACATCTTAACCGAGGTTCCCCCTTTAAATCTAGTCCACATAGTCCTAATTTCTAATATATAGTTGATCATAATGAAGAAATTTTCTAGGATTAGGATTTTATTTGGGGTGAATTTCTTACTTATTTTCTAGAACAGTTTTATAAAAAAAATTTCTAATTAATTTTTTTTTAATTATTTTAAAAGACATTAAGAAAGTTAATCCAAATAAATCTTAAATAATCACCAACAAAAGTAACACAGTTTCACGTTAAGATCATCTCCAACCGAACTGCATACAATTGTGTGTCGTCCGTTATTCGCTGCATTCGAACTCCAAATCTCAAGCCAAAATTCAATAGATGAATAGTGCGATGCAGATATTAGCATCGGACTGTTCACCTATATAAAAAAACTCTCACTTGCGAATTTGTCAAAAAAGAGCAAAACAGAAGAGAAAAACATGCGAACGAGGAGAGAAATGATCATCTTCA